AGCGTGCCTTAGCCAACTGTGGAAAAGAAGGGAAAAAAGAAGGGGGGGGGTTAGGGGAGGAGAGAACTAACTCTGAAATATTTTCCTCGTGCTTCCCCAGCTGTTGCAGAGCAGGAGGCACATTTCCTTCTTTCTGCTTTACTTTGACACTGATATAGGTAACCTTGCAACGTGGTTGACATAGCTAACCTGAGTTCTGTAGCTAACATCCTAAACGAAGTTAGGACAGGCACCATGAGGCAGGTGGTCCTAAAGCACAGTTGCATAGGGCTGAAACATGACAACCAACCATTTGAAATCCTCATGAAGTCTGGCATTTTTCTTCAGATGTTCTTTTTCTTCTAAGGGATTTGTGGAAATGGATGTTTTTATTAGGGCTACCATACCTGGAATTCAGAAATCCAGAAAACCACTAAATAATAGGAAACAATCACAAGTTGTCTCTGTCTCTTTGCTACCATCTAGTGGTCACCTGGATTTTGACAATCCCAATATGGCAGCCGTAATTTTTATCCAGGAGACTTAAAGATCAGTTAGGCCTTGTCCGGAATTTACTTCACAGACTCTGCCAAGGGGCTCTGCGAGTCTTATCTTCCATTTGGATTGAAATATGGCATGTTTTCTAACATTCCAGTTACAGAAAAATGCATTTTCTATTAAGCAAGAGAGTTAATCTTCCAATTAGCAGAGGAACTGATTCCATACTGAATTCTAGGAGGAAATACTTGTTTAGATAAGTATAGACTTCCTATATATCCTTTAGCATAGAATTCCTTCAAGTTATTATGTAGAAGATGGCATTCTGGCATGTTCAAAATGGGAGAGGTGCCACCTGCCAAAATTTTATTTTTCTCCAAGTAGATATGGCAGGAATCTGGAAACCCTAGCAAGGATAAGAAGAATTAAGGAAACAAACCCTCCTGACTTTGAATTCATCTTTCTGAGATAAGTAATAACCCCAGCCTTCATGTATTGGAATCCTCATTAAACACTAAAAATAACTTTTGAGCATATATCATAAAGCATTGCTTAAATGGTAATTGATATTAGATGATTTTGAATATGTTGTCCATTTCTGAAGTTCAGTCCCTTATCCTCATATATTACATCTTCTGATTATCTTTCCTACTTTAAGAATGCAGGCAAGCTTTGTTGAACCCCAAATAGGACATGTGTACAAATACTCCGGAGAAATCAGTAGTTGGAAGCCACTGATTAATGGCCACTGATAAAGGACATAATATATTGTTTAGATGATTAGTAGCTACCATCAGCCCTATCCCCAATTCATCTGCAAATCCATTTTTAAAGCTATCGAAATGATACATTGTATGAATACATTTTTTAATTTCACTTTGCTATGTAAATATTTTGTTTGATCTCTTCTGAATATCCCACCTTCAGATTTTAGATGATCTCATAGATTCTAGTGTTATGAGATAAAGAGTTCTGTCTCTCCACTTTCTCCATATCTTGCAGAATTGTATGCCCCTCTGTTAGACCCCCCTCTTCCATACATATACATAGAGATCTTATCTGTTCTCTAGGATACCAAGACCCAAATCTTAAAACTTTTCCTTGTAGGGTAATTGCTCCATCCTGTTTTTCTTCAATTTTCAAACAATTTTGGTTGTTTTTCTTGCATTTCTTTTCAGTTCGATGACACACCCTAACCCTAACAATATTTTGAGTATGTTCATGCATGGAGTTATGCAAAAATATTGTTAGGATCATGCCCTTATCTGAAAATTCTACAATGTTTCCATGTGTACTTGAAATTAACACTCAACCATTTTTGCATATATTACACAAAGCATTTCTTACTATCTGTGATGCTTACCAGAATCATAAAAGGTTGCTCAGTAATATTTATCCATGTAACGCAGAAGTCATCCTGAATCAGAGAAGTGATATGGCAAAAGGAGTTTCAAATCAGATACTTCTTGATTTGCAGTGTAATTTCTTAGCCACAAGCTGCTCTAACCACCAGGCTTCAAGACTTTACTTTTATTCTGCACAGACCACATTTTTCTTTGGTCAAGCACTTGTCCCCCAAGTTTAACATGTTAATGTTCTAGTGAGATATTTCAGCAGCAAATAAATAGGGTTGGACAAGCACTGTTCAATGTTCAGGATCTTTTCAGGTCTGAGAGTTATTAGATTATAAAGTTATATTTCAGGAAGAGCCATATTTAAACCATAATATGGCCTTGAGGAACTGTATGTAACTGAAGGAAAAGCCACCAAATGACACCCTAGCTTTGTGAGCGCAAAATCAGGAAAGTCTTCAGCATGGCAGAGAGCAGAAGCTGGAGGTAATAATGGAGTTGCTCCCATATTTGCCAGGGCTTATTCTGAGAGCACAGAGCTAATCCTTTTTCTTCTGCAGTTAGAAGGGATATACAGCATTCAGCTGCCTGCCATTCTTTTGTAGAGACAAAAAGACTACAATAAAACGTTAACTTTTTCTTCAAGCTATCCTGAATCTAAATCCTCTCTGTCTTATGGAATGGCTGTAGAACTATGTTAAATGAATTCCAAATACATGTCAAGTGGGAGTGGAAGCAGATGAAAGTGTGCAAAGCTGACCAGTTGATATTATGAACTGTTCCTTGTTTGTGGATTGTTACACCTCAAGGAGATTTTCTCCTAGCCAAACTCGTATCAGAACCTGTGGGGAGAATCCCTTCAGAGAACTGCTGAGATAGTATGAAAAAGAAGAAAAGGTAGCATAATCTCATTGTTCTTTAAATTGGATTTTGCTCTCCCTCTCTTTTACTTGATTCATGCAGACCTACTATTAAAGGAATGAGTTTGCTACCATCACATATAGGCTGGTTTTACACAATGCCCAGACATTGTGACTTATTCAAAAAACCATGATTTAAAAAAGGCCATCGGGGAGAATGAAGCGACTGCTTCAAGCTGAAGATGCTGGGAACCATAGTGCCAGTTCTCTATCCCACCCCCAACTCTGTCTCCCAAATTCTCAAATGTTCATCTCTGCTGGAGAACAGTGTTCTAAATACCATGTGCAGCCTGCCTTAGATATCTAAACAAGCCAAATATCATGGATAGTATCCATTCACTAAGATTCAGCAAGATTCAATTGTATCTATCCAGTTCTGCATGTGGACTTGGAGGACACGGTAGGGCCATCAGATCAGGCTCCAAAAATCCAGATGACCACTAGGTCACAATACATACAGAAATGTATCTCTTTGCTTCCGCCTAGTGGTCATCTGGATGCATATGGCTCTCATCTGATAGCGCTATGAGGATTTTATTATATGCTTCAGATAGCAAAGATAGCATATTCAATTATTAAACTGCACTTAAGAGTAGAAGGAGGTCTTTCTTATATGTGCCTACATAGAAATAAGCTCCAATGGGTTTAATGGAAGTAAGTAAGTATAGGATTGGAGCCATAATCTCTCTCTTGGTTTCAGTAGTTGAAATCAACTGCTTTTTATCCTGTCTTCCATTGTGGAGGAAGGAAGTAATCAACATTTATTCTTTTTTTTAATTACTTTTTATAGATCTAAACAGTGTCAGCTTATTTTCCCTGCTGTTTAGCATGCATTTCATATGTGCAAACTTCTAGTTGCACAAACCTTTGCCATCACTATAGGAGGAAGCTGGGACCTGGCACAATGGGAAGTATCCAGTGTACCCATGATTGTTTGGTGGGACACTCAGATTACTTCCTAAGTAATGAATGAAACTACATCTGGTGAAGCTTGAGATAAACTTGGCGGGGAGGGAATCAAGATTTCCTGTACTGTAGATTTATGTTTACAAATATAAGAGTTAAAACGACCACCACTTTGGATTGATCTGCAACATTGGTATGATACTTATATTTTTATCCATGAGGCAAATAGCAGCCTTGAGAAAGGACAGAGGAGAGGAGTTTTTAATTAAGAAAGATAGAGAGGTAGGATTAAAATGCCCATTTCCATGTCTGCAATTCTCTTTTGAATCATACAAATTAAATGATGCAACAAACAAGGATTCCAATCCTTCAATTTTTCACATATAATTTGGTTTTCAGTCTTTAATAAGCTCATCTTCAGTGGGTTACATCCATTTGTCAGAAAACAATATTTCTCTTTTACCATTATAGACACTGAAATGGATCAGAAGCTGGTCCTTCAGCTATATGACCTCCGGATTTTCATTTGTCCAGTGAAATCTGCCATAGATCAGAATTTGAAGTTTATTTCCTATTGAGTTCTAACCTTTGTCAAAGGAAAAAGTCATGATACGCCTCACTTAAATCTCATGGTACTTTCAGCACAAGAAAGCAATAAATAAAATATCAAATTGCTTACAGAATTAATGCTAACCTTGCAGATTGCATAGTGTGTTTATAATATGAAAGCTGGGACAAAAATACTTGCAGGGCAAGAAATAGATTTGATAAGCAGATAAGGTGGCCTGCTTCAAGAGATGGATTTGGGGATATAAAAGGACAAGCAAAATATTAGTCATTTTGTTTATTTATATCTTTTAACACAAGGTTGTCATTTGAACAAAAATGCATTGATCCATATTTTTGTAAAAAATAAAGCAAAATGTCATATCCACTAAGCTTTTCTGTTATTTTCAGTGGAGGTAAAAATAATACCAATAATTCTGAGTATGTCCTAGTTAGTGTATGTGTATGGGAGAGGATTCCTTCTTGATTCCCATATTGATAATCTTATAAGGCTAAAGTATGAAAGAAAGAACTGTCTACTAAATCTCCATATTTTACAACAGAATGTCAAGAACCTGTGTTCGATAATGGCAATCAAATGTTTCCCAAATTATTTCCATGGGAAGTGAAGGAATTCTGAAATAGTTTATCAATTTTAGAGCAGCCCTTTCATTCACCATGAAAGTAGAAGAAGATACCATACAGTAGGCCCCAACTTTGTCAAACCTGTGCCTCTATTTTCAGTTCTCAGCTGCAGCAATATATTGATGACAGGTTCTTTTTTCCTTGTGTGTTTTAGAATCCGGACAATCAGACAATTCAAACCAGCAAGGAGATGCGGACATTAAACCACTGCCCAATGGTGAGTGAATCACTGCTCAAAGTTGGATTCCCTAGTCAACAATCCTGATATTCCATTTTGTCTTTTCACTGAAGCTCTTTTTCCCCTTTCGCTCCAATGTCTGTTTCTAGGGCCAGGTGAGAATGAGTAGAGAATGATCAGGAGTCACAGATCTTTGTGGCTTGATATGGAATTATTGAGAAATAAATGTAGGAGCAAGCAAGGTAGGATTTAAACATGGAAAGTAAAATATGGCAGACTTGAAATCAGGAACCAGCCTTGAATTAAAACAGAAAGAGCAGGAGGAATGGGATTCAAAGCTGAGGTTAAGATAAAACTCAGAAGAGAGGCAAAAGCTAGATTGCAAATTAGAATTTGTTTTTACCCAGCCACAGTATCGCAAGCCATGCCTAGTCTCCAGTTGCTACAGCCTTTCATATTATACTCCATCCTCATGACCCAGTCTATGTCTGCCTTCTTCTCTTTGCAGGGCATTTGACTTTCCAGGACTGTTTTGTGACATCAGGCGTCTGGAATGTTACAGAGCTGGTGAGAGTGTCACAGAGTAAGTTAAGGCAGCCGAAACTGCAGGATTAAGGTGATGAGACTTGGGGATGCACATGGCTTCTTCTTAGCATCTTCTCAGCATCTTCTCAGGTTGTAAACTTGCTGAGCACAAGGTAGTGAGAGCCGTGATTATGGCTGTACTGGCTCTCAAATGCTTCTGTGGGTTTACTGAATCTAATGAAATAGGTGTGCGCCTGTTCAGATCTGAAATTACTAAAAGGGATGTCTTCCAAATTCATATCCCTTGCAAGGAGTTCTGAGTTCATCAGAATAGTATTACCACTGGTGTCTCCCTTCCACCACTTAGTACATCAATAAATGGTACATTTTGAGCAAGGAAGGAGCAACTTCTTAACTCACCAAAGAACATGGAGGCTCTTCTTTTCAGGTTACTTCTGGACAAAGTTTTTATGTGGTAGGAGGGGCATTTAGACTGTGTCATCTTTTTGTAATCTTCCTGTGTTTTTCTATTCTTTCTCCTGTTAAGGCTGTACCTTTTATTGACAGTTACTTGGAAAAATTACAAAGTCCTCTCCTCCACCAAGCTATCTTTTTTTCTCTGTGATATAACATGAATATTAAAATTACTTCCTGGCAGAAAAGTATATATGATATTCAGATAATCAGTTGAATCAATATAGGTGGATACTGCAATACAAATGGCAACTGCATGCTGATTCCTGTGCTGATAGCAATACACAGAATTAGCCCCACCTTTAAGGATATATTAGCAATAGTTGTTGCTAAGAATTTGTTAGCCTTTCTCAGCAAAGAATGCTTAGTGATGAGATGCAGGCTTAGCAGACCACCAAAAAGTTATCTCAAATAAAGGGAACACTAACACTGAAAGCTCTGTACCCAGAGGAAGAGTTCAGGAAATGGCATCTTTGCTGTATTATAATTCTTCAGTCAATCCATCTAAAATTATAATTTTGTGGGTCCGATTGACTGAAAGAGGTGTTCAGTCTCCAAACCAATGCTTGCCAGCTGTATTTTAAATGGCCAAATAAGGTCCCAAGAATGACATCTTTAAGTACTCTTTGCTGTTTTTTATGAAGATGTCTCTAGGTCATGTTCTGTTTTACTCTCTAACTCTCCTTAAATTTGTTTGTGTGTGTATTTTCTCTTGAGTTTATATAACTGAGAAAGTAGAATTCAGCCATCAGTGCAAGGATTCTCCTTTCCCATTGCTTCTGGTGGCTGAGGCCACATTTAATACTTCTGGAAATTGTGAGGGCCACAATGGGTAGGCTAATGATGCATAGTGGAGGACATGTCTCATCCATGAGCAGGGTCCAGACTTTCTTTTTTCCTTTTTTTTTTTTTGGTATGGTGGGGGAACTGTTGGGGAATTCAGCTATGTTAAGCCTATTTTAGGGCTTGCAGCACAGCTTGTTGTTTTTTGCCACCTCAGACTGACATAAGACACCATGATATTAATTTTTAGTAATTATGGCCAGAGATTCATGTCTGCCGTTGCCAAATCCTGTTCCTTTTTATTACTATATACCTTCTGTGCAATAATATGTCCTGTTACAGAGAGTCCTATTAGAGAAACTCTGATTTCTCTAAGCAGGGAAGCCCCCCCCCCCCCGTACCATCTGTGCAAAGAACTTTGCTTTAAAGACACCTGAAACCCTCTCAGATCTCTTGGTCAGTCTGTTTCCCTTTCTTCTCAGGCCAAGAGTTAGACCGCAGTAGGGGGAAGTTTCCTGGTATCTCCAATCTCTCTTCTTACATAGGGTCTTGGTTAGGATACCTGAAATGCTGCCTAAACCAGGATCCATATTTCAGTTTGAAGAAAAAAAATCCCTTTTAGTGATCCTTGCTTGCTGTGCAATCCAACCATGCTTCTGCAGTTGCTGCCTGAGTTTTCTGACTTAGTTAGCCTTAGGCACGTACATAGATTTTCATTTGCTATTGTTATTTATACTGTTTCCATTTACCCATTTGCTTTATTTTTAACATGCATTCTAATCTTTTTTTAATCAGCTAATTAATTCCGTTAGAATTTGTTTGCTAATTTCTCCCAAAATAAATAATTTAAACACTTGGATTCTTCTCTCCTTCTGTGTGTGTGTGTGTGTGTGTGTGTGTAATAAAGTATTTACTATTTTTGAAGAGCTTGTATTACTGGGTAAATTGAAATGCAGTGTTGCCAATGTTAAGATATCTGAACATTTATGATCATAATGTGGTCTAAATGATGTGAGCAGATAAAGTAATCATAGTCAGTTATTTAATTTACTACGATATTTCCACCACAATTACGATTAATTTTATATGTGAGGCACCAAACTGATTTTAGCCATTTCTATTGATGGGTTAAATTCAAAGGAAGGCACCACACAGCAATTGGCAAAAATCAGCAGTGGTTGTGCCCAATCCCAATCACTAGGAAGGGCTTCTTCTTCTTCCCTTGAATTTTATCTTCCAGTTTTTGAGAATGAAATTGAAATATGAAAGCAGCATCTAGATACCCCTCACATTATTTTTTTAATTGAAATACTGCATTCTGTAGTTATGAAATGGAGGCTTAGATATTAGCAGGAATATCTTTACTCAGTTGGCTATGTCCGTTCCTGAAGAATATAGATTCGTCTAGGTTATAACGTAGCTTAATTACATCACATCTGGATTATTGCCGTATGCTTTACTTTAGAAAAGTATTCAAAAACTACAGTTGGTCCAGAATACTGTAGCTTCTGGATCTGTGCGTAGGGAGCAGGTGACTTCCCAACTGAAACAGTTGTACTGTCCTTAAAACCCTGAAAGGTTTGAGACCTGGGTATCAGAAGGGTTGCCTTCTCCCATATGAACTCAGAGTCTGAAATCCATCTGATTAGGACTAGGGAAAGAGCCTTTTCAGTGACTATACCTGAACTTTTAAAATATTTAATATTTCTATCTTTTTATTGATACTGTGAGCAATCTAGAGCTCTATAGAGGAGAAGGCAGGTAAAAATGTAAAATAAATAATAAAGACATTGATTTATTTGATGCATTCTTCACACTTCCTTACACATAATCTAGCCTTCCTAACACCTTTCTCACAGAAGAATGCTCTTTTGCTGTCAACTTCTAGAATTATGCAGACTTTTCATGTGTCATGTACTCAAAATTGTGTTGCAATCAAATGGAGACATTGAAGGATAACAGACAAAACCCTTCCTTCCTTCCTTCCTTCCTTCC